TTTGAGGAGACAACGGAGAAGGGGACGTGGCTGATTGCGGTTTAGAGGAAGTGGAATGTGCAGCATTCCGTCGCTTAGAAGGTGCTACGCTTCCGTGATGCATACTCGCTTCCATTAAAGTAATCTTATCGTTTATCCTCTGTTCGGCTTCTGCGGTTAACCGGTTGCACTTCTGAGCTAGGATAAGCAAGCACTTAACGAGTGGGATGATGCGGCAGGCAGTCCGGAACCAAAAGTGCATCTTGGTAGGTATTTCGCTCACGTACCTGTTGTTGGGACACATTTTCACACTTCTAAGGATACCCCTCCAAACAGTGCGAGCAAACCAGACCGATTTTAACCACTCGATGACATTCTCCTAACTCACAAATGCCTTTCCCTTGGGGCGTTTTCGGATTCGCATTTCTGCCATTCAACGTACGGTCGTTACCCGACCTAGCGGGTTGGTTAGCGTTCCATACTTTTCCAGCTTTGAGAGCGGCGCATATAGGTCAAGCGAGGGTGGTGGTTGCAAGGTCAAATGAGCGGTTGGTGTGGTGGCGCGATCCGTGTGTTGGGTTATGCAGGCGTACTGGCTGACAAAGTCCCAAGGAATGGTGAGTGACTGGAACCTGCTAACTGAATTTGAACACAGCGCTGAACACAGATTATGAGATCACAAATTCTTTCACAGCTGTGTTGAGAAAAGCCGGATCGGAATAAGCTTAGGCTTTTCGGCTTGCCTCGAGAATTCTGTATCGAATGGTGTCAAACAGAAAGGCAATCGGCTCGATGTGATTGAGTCATCCTCTTGCGTTTAACCACACATGTCAGTGAAAACAGTTAGTGATGGCACGGAGTCTAATTGTAGAAGATATTTCCACGTATGATAGATCACTCAGTAGGGCTGGTAAATCCTGTTCGAATGAGCGTACAGTGACAACGCTGCGATAAGATGGAGAGAGGATAGAGAAGAATAATCCAAAAGAGCCAGTCAGGTTTCTTCGAGGTCCAGACTGCATCGACCACCTCTTCACTTTGCGTCAATTGGTGCAGCACCCTTACATATAGTAACGACCAACTGTTGTCGTATTCCTTGATACCACAAGTACCTTCGATTCAGTTGATCGATGTGCCCTTTGGGACTGTCTACTCAGGATAAGTGGGTCTGAGAAATATGAACTATTATCTGAACGATTTACGCGTTGCTCGGCAGAGTGAGGATAGCTGGCGCCACCCTGCAATATCTCCAACAGTGTAGGAAGAGGATGCCTGCTGCTCTTCAACTTCGCTGTTAACGAAGTCATGGTGATCGTGTTCCTAGGACACAACTTAGAAAATGTGGAGCTGCTCCCGGGCAAACGACTTATTGACTTGCAATATGCTGACGATATTGATCTAATCTATGACAGCTCGCAAACATGCCAAGTGGCACTGGACAGATTAGCACTGGCTGTCCGCCGTTTCGGGCTATGCTTTGCATTCTCGAAGTGTTAAAGCTTTCATCCAGAGTTGGTAGAGACCACCTCCTGCGCTGACCCTTATTGAGGATCAGCTGGAAGTCCTTCAACCATCTAACTACCTGGGAAGTTTTATCAGAGCCGTTGGAATTGAAGACGAGGGCACAAGCCGTATAGCAAAAGTTCGAGGGGCTTTTGCTAACCTTCGCCACCTAGGGCACGGGCGCGACACCACTCTCGCGCTGAAATATGGAGTGTACAATGCAGCCGTCCGTTCAACTCTCTTGTACGGCTGTGACACCTAGCCCATTAGATCAGCAAACATAAGGACGCTATTTACGTTCAACCACCGGTACCTTGGCAGTTTGGCTCATAACTGGTGGGAACACCGTTTGAGCATTGAGCACGTTTGATGCCTCCTTTATGGCACAGGGAGAAAAAGTGAACCGTTCGGCGCCATTATATCACGCACCGGGCTCCTATTGTTGCGTATATCAACGCATCGACTCCCACGACGTGCGTTGTTCGCGCGCTGAAGGTGTGGATAGAAGAATAAGAAGGGTAGCCAAGCATTGGCTTGGTCGAGGCCAATGAAGGCCATTACTTCAACGCTGACCTCGGTTGGAGCCTCTCGGCTCCCTGGTTGGGGTCCAAAGACGATGATCAAGTTTGGCTCTATACACTTGTTGACATGGCTTGGAGCCGACTTCAGTGGCATACGTGTTGTGAGTTTCTTTTCCAGCCCCATCCCTCTTAGCCTCTTCCTCTAATCATGATCTACTTTCTTACTGTAATATAAATTTTGCATAATAAAATTATTTTTTGCTGCATAGTAGCCGGCTAGTAGTCTTTCGGAGCGATGCCCATCCGTTACTGGTAGCTCAACTGGCGTGCACCTGCTGTATGTTTTTTCTCTTTCTTTTCTTGTGTATTGCGACACAGTAGCTGAGGTGTTTTCCATCTCTAGCTAAGGTCTATAATGATGGATAATGAGCGTATGTGTGCGCAGAGAATCCAGGTCGAACCCCCCACCTGTGGCTACCGGAAATGAAAACGAATCGAGAAACTTTGTCCAACTAAGGCTTAGGTCAGCGACATTTCGCCACCATTTACAAAAATGAGGTCCGACACACCGAGACTACATGTAAAGAAACCGAACATGACAAAGTGTTTCATATGAATTCAGCACAATTCCAGGTGGAGAGCGGGAACGATCAATAGGATAATCGCAGGCATCGTACCTATCGCTGCCTGATAGTCGTACATTGAGTGATGGAATAGTGTCAGAACTAAATTGCTGCGCCATTGTGCTGACACGCCTAGAGTAACAGGCATCCAAGGGGACACAAGATACATTACACTTTTGGCCTTAGAACTCTTCATCTGATTTACAGTTAAATTGTTTACGCCTAATTCGAATCACTGACACACGCCAAGGCATTCACCAAGTGAACCCAGAAGCGCCCCAAATGGCCAGTTTGTCTAAGAATTCGAAGTAGCGAGGAATAAATAATGAATTCATACGGGTTAACAAGCACTAATTTACAAGTCAAGTTGGATAATTTGATGGGATTATCGAAAACGCGGTTAGTACATTAAATATGGAAAGAAGAACTTATTGTTTGTTATGATGCAATCCTGCAATCCGCATATTTTCACAGCGCCCACAGGTAACAACAAATGCCTCTAAGTTATGTTCCAGGAGTAGGAAGCAGTCACTGCTAACTGACAAAGTGTAAGTGAATGAGTGTGTCATCCAACCGTATTTTAAATATTTCTGGTGTCGGTGCAGCAACGACCGACTCGAGAAGAACAGTTCCCAAGTGACACGCGAATAGAAAAGAAGTTTCTGCGGCACTCCAAACGGCTATACTGTTCTGCTAGTTTCAGTGAGTGACTTTTCAGGTTTGCATTACTGCTGTTGCAGTAAGCAGCGACACACATGATGTGGATCGTATAGAAACAAAGAAGCCATCGTCAATTCGCCTTGTAATCGGCGATGCCGTCCGCTGAAAACCTTTAATTATTTCAGCCTCTGCTCGTATGGAAGATTGCGCATTTCATTGACATACTTGGATGTCTGATTTTGAGGTCGCTGCAGTGCACTAAGATCGTGTTTCCGTAATGAATGCAAGGCTTGGATTGCGTATTTAACCTGTGGCGAACATAAGCGATAAGTATCAGTCAGAAAATAGACATATCTATTTATCCGAACAGCCGTCGCGACAGCCCGACCTGGTGGTTACCAAGTTTCGAGGCTTTTCCTTATTGCTTGGAACAACTTAAATCATCCTCAACCGGCACACCCAGAGCTCGTTCGACGGAATCTCACCGCAGTACATGCGTTCCCAGCCTGCATGAGTAGTTGACCTGGTGTCGCATAGTGGGTACCCTGCATTTACACAACATGAACTGCAATAAATTTTGGATTGTCCACCGATGTACCATGCCTAGGTCACTCTGAAGCAGACGCTGGTCGGCATTTACCTGAATCCTGCGCTAAATCTTGATGTCGTCGGCAAACTGTAGGAAATTTGAAGCGATTGCTTGTGCAACTTCATTAATGTATGCAAAAAAAATTCTGGACCTAGAACTGATCATTGCAGTGCATCACACTCAACCTGTATGAGGTCGGATAAAGAGCTCCGAACTCTGACCACTAATAGCCGCTGAAGGTCATCTCCGATCCATGCTTTTTTATTTGTCCGCGTGGAGTGGGGGTTAACGTTTCTGAATGGTGCCCTGGTGTTTACATCTGCTAGTCTCCGTGTCCTAACACCTACATGTACGTAGCAGTCTCGGCCGTATCTCATCTAAAGGCCTATAGAATCTTGGGCACAGTCTACACCGTGTGAATATTGTGTCCTTACATTGGTTCATCCGGCTGTCGATAAGGTGGTGAAGCGTGTCCATAGGATAGCCCGAGAGAGCAGAATAGCACCAGGTCTGACGAACTGAGGGTGTACATGGACTTCTATTAAATTCTGTCGACAACATTGATTCTTTCACCGGGAAGAAGAGATGGGACAGATGTGAATGAAACGGAGCACGGTACCGGACTGCCTCATCATCGAGGTTTCTGTAAGAGTGAGTGACACACAAAGTTTGGAATGGAAACTAGTATAGAGAGATAAGATGGGGTGCTACTTAAAAGCCAAGTGGGATTCCGGAAGAGTGAAGCTTGTTATGCGCCAGTGAGTAGGACTGAGTGACCGCCAATGCATTCAGTTCCCACTGGAAAGACCAGTTACGTGACAGTCACACGGGCTACCCGGGATCTTGTGCGGTCAGGCCTCGTGAGCACCAGAGCTACACGAGCTAGTCTACCATACGGGTTAGTCCTCCCCTTTCCCTACGCACCGCTGATGAGCCCAATAGGGCGAAAGCGTTTCCGGACAGCTGGTCGACATATCTGAATTGTCGGCTGATTGCGACAAACAAAAATACTCACCAAAATCCTTCCATTCATAAGAGGTCTAACTTGTTTGGAAAGCTCCTAACCACGCTAGAGGTGACCTACGCATGAGTTCAGTGGTTTGTTTGAATTATTTACGAACTCACTGTCATATGGCAACTTCCCGTCGGCTGTAGGTTTGGCCTCATTGAAGAACTCGTTTGCTTCCTTTTCGGTGAAACAATCTCCCACAGTGAGTAGCTTCTCTCGCAGAATGTTCGCTTCGATCACTCCTGACTCATCTTTGTCAAAAAACTAAAAAGATGATAAACAGTTTTAATTCTAGGCCTCAGTTGGCTCATTCACATTTCGCAACAATGACCATGCGAAAATGGCCATAACCTGCTTAGAAAATCACACTGAGTGACAAAATTTATGGTTGCATTTGAATCACGACACTGGTTGGTGTCATAGAGATCAACAATTGCTAAAGTAGCCCATCACCAAACAACACACTTGCGTGGTACTACACACAGCAAGTCACGTGTGGCCGGTAAGATGGGTTGAAGAACCATCGTAAAGTTATCGGAAGGAGGGCGGCGAACAGCAAACTAACCGATCATTAGTAATCTGGTAATTACAACAGGCACGTCAAACATGCGGCAGTTGCATGCATGCCTACAACCCCTTATAAATGTGTATTTGTACGTGTTGTATCAAGAAGGCAACGGTAAAAGCAAGATGTGTATCGGTGCACAATTCAGAGGTACACGCAGGTAACACACAGAATGGACAATTTTTAACCGTTCGGATTACAACCACTGAGAAGTGCGTTGCTGTGTTTCAGGCAGCCGATGAAGCAAGAGTTAGGCGAGACATCGTGATGAGTCGGCCAAAACAACCACCCCCTCCCTTTTGATTAGCGGAATCAGGCGGGTTGGTATCGATCGACAGGCTTCAAACGTCTGGTGGACCGGCAAGGCTGACTTCGTGATCTCAGCGATTCGGCCTGGTGTCCGCGCATTATTTGAGACTGAGTCCATGGGCCGTGTGCAACCGAAGTGAGTTAGCAATTAGGCCGTTTTTCCAACCGATAGATCCTTGGATCTAGTCTCTGGACGATTCGCAACGGTGCGGATAGAGCTGGGGGGACTTTAGGCGTAGACCGTTTTTTTAATCGTGAACCTATGCTCCCGGCTGCATAGGAGTTGATAATCTGGCGTAGAAATTTTGATAATGTGCTGCGCGATTTGAAACTACTGCACGTCCCACAGGTGGCAGATCATGTGCAGCATTTCGTTTGATGAGTAAGGGGTTTCCTAACATCAGCTCCGGTGGCGTTTTCCCGGTAGCCTTGTGAGCACAAGTTTTGTAAGAAAATACAACAGTTAAAACGGCAACTTCCCAATCCGACCCTTCTAATTGGATAGCTTGTATGGCTTCCTTGAGGATCGGTTTAGCCACTGGACCAGGCCGTTGGCCACAGGATTGTAAGGTGTAGTTCTGGAATGTTTTATCTTATGGCACTGGAGGAAAACTGCGAAGTCGTGACTACAAAATTGTGGTCCATTGTTCGTGACTATTTGTTCTGGTAGTCTGCAACGATGGACAAGTATTTAAGCCAGCGTAACACAACCGAAATAGTCACTTGGTCGCAAATGTGAACTTCGGGACACTTACTGTAAAAACATGTAGCTACAAGCAGACCTATCTTATTCGTAGGAGCGGTGGTAAAAGGACCCATAATATCAATGGTGATCTTAGCCCACGGTTTCTTCGGGTAAGTAATAGGCTGTACTGGAGCTGCTACTGACACAGAACCTATGTCCGCTAGGCAGCAAGCGTTACATTTCTTCACAAATGTCTCTGCTAAATACCATACATGACCACCAAAAGTAGAGTTTCACTCGATTATTGGTCCGAACGATGCCCAGATGACCCTCATGTGCACAATGAATTATTTTGTTTACCAACTGACGTGGAGCTATAAACACCGAACCACGCATCAGACAACCATCTGTCATTGACAGTTCATCACGAAGTGAGTAATATGGAATGAACTCACTTGAGACTTGGTTGTTCTTATGTCATCGCTGTCGCACATACTCGCTGAGATGACGTAGTAACGGGTCGTTGGCATTTTCCGTTCGTAATTCCTCGATAGTCGACTCTGTTAGTTCGGAGCCAAGGCTGGAAACTAATACTGCCTCTCTGAATGTCACTTTGTCATCCTGCAGCCTCAAGGCGAAGCGCGATAATCCATCAGAAACTTGGTTTTGCTAATCCGACCGGTACACAATTTGAAAATCGTAGTTAAGGTGTCTAGCATATCAATGATCGGTTCACATTGGACGCGGCCCCTTAGATCCATTGCTGACGAGGACTGTAAGGGTGGAGTGATCAGTTCGTAAAGTCAGATGACGACCGAGCAGGAAACGATGCCATTTTTCATAAGCCCACACACAAGCAAGAGCTTCTTCCTCCCCAACTGAATATGGATGCTCAGCATCTGAGAGTTTCTGGGATGCGTAAGCAATAACTTTTTCCTCTCCGTTTTGTAGCTATGATAGAACAGCACCGAGACCGACATCAGACGCCTCAGTCGACCTAAAAGTGCGGCATGCTTCATCAAAAATAGGGAATAGATGCAAACCTCACTTACAGTTCATCAAAAGCACTTTGCCGATCACTTCCTCAAGTGAACGACACTCCTTTCTTTGTTAGTTGTCGTACTGGATCTGCTAGGGTGGCAAAAGTTTGCAACCAACGCAGGTTGTAGGAGCACATTCCCAAAAGGATCTTCAGTTCGATCACGTTCTTGGGTGTGGGCGCTTCTTCGATGGCCCGCATGTTTTCGCTGCTTGGGCGAATGCCACCACGCGATATGTTGTGGCCCAGAAATTGAACCTTGTGTGCACTAAATTGACATCTTTGCATTCAGAAGTAAATCAAGATCACTAAGACGCCGAAGGACTTTGTGTAGTCTTCCAATATGCTCTTCTTGTGAACGGCCGAAAACACAGATATCATCCATGTATGTAACCCGCACTTCAATACCTGCCAAGGCGTGGGCCACGAAATTTTGCCAGGCAGTGGGCGCAGAACTCAAACGCATTGTCAACACGATGTATTGAAATAAGCCAATGGGAGAAAGGAAGTCCGCAAAATGCTTCAAATCGTTGGCTAATGACATATGGAAGAATGCACTTTTCAAACCTTGCCTAGAATTTCGGTTGCACCCGCTAGACGTACAGTGGGTTCCTCATTGGATCCCAACAGGAAACGCTATATGATGACCTAGTAATTTAGTCCCTGCAATTCGTTGCATATTCTGACAGTGTCCACGTTTTTCAGGACACTTACGATTGGATGCACTCACTCAAAGCCGTGGTTGGGTTTAATCAAATCATTTGCTAGCATTTCTTGCAGGGCCACTGAGACAGCTTGACGTTTTGCTAGCGGAATAGGCCGAGGTTGACCCATGGCAACGGGTTTTACATCCTGCTTCACCTGTATACGATCCACACCACATGGAATACGTCCGATGCACTGCTGAAAAAGCTCAGGATAACGTTCCTGCCAGCATGTCCCGTTGAGGGAAGAGGCAAGCCTGCAGTCGAAAGATGGTACTACTTGCAAAGCCACCATGGCGTTTCTTCCAAGTAAGGGTCGCTTGTTGTCGGAAGAAATATATAATGCAACATTCCCAGCTACCGAATGTAGCCTTAAAGGCACGATACTGAATCGCAATAAGGTTAACGTGTTTCCATTGCAACTCCAAAATGAACGCAAAATAGGTTGTAAACTATGCTGGGATAGGTAGCGTTCGTAAAATTAAAGTGGTACAATAGTAGCTGGAGAAGCAGAATCTAGTTTCATTTTAAGTGGGACAGCGTCTTTGATAGTGAGGAATGACACAGCACGTATATCAGCGAAGGGAAACTTTGGTTTAATAATACACATTGTTAAACTTTTTGTAGCATTAACATTAGCGGTGATGGTAGAAATGTTCTCCTGAGGTGGATCAGCAACATGACGTTCAGCTGTAGCGTCGTTATGTGATGGCTTGCGACCGACAAAATTGGGCGTAGTGCTCAATTTCGCAACAGTTTTTGCACTTAAGGCTGCGTGCGGGACAAGTGGGAAAGTTGGCTTCATGAGAAGCACTTTCACCTCGATAGCAAGATTGCTTGTCTGCTGGTAATTGTCGGGAAAATTGCACCCTTGCAACCTCAGCTGAATTGGTCGAACAGAACTGTTTTGATGGCAGAGAAATCTCAGTTTTCATTCTGGCTAACTCGCGGGCTTGTTCCCACGTTAATGCGCGCTCCTCTTCCTACAACAGCGCCTCACATATACGATTGTCAGCGATTCCAGTAATCAGTTGCTGTGTCAGCATACAGCCTTCGATCTTTTGCTGAGGACTGTATAAATAAGCATACGGTCGTACTGCGCGAGTTAACCGGGCGATGAAATCGTCCAAGGGTTCGCCTATTTCCTGCTGCATGCTGGAGAAAACGTATCTTACAGTAAGCACATTCATTTGTTAACGTCATGTGCAATCGAGAGCACTGAAAGCTTCTTTAACCGAGTTACATCTTTGAAGGTCCAACTCATCAAACTGTCGCTGCCCCGCATCTCCGAGTAAATGTCGAAGCAGCTTCAATTTGTTTTCCTCACTGAGAGAAGAACGGAAGTCCCTGATTAAATCTAGGTAGTTTTGGAAGGACCTTTCCCAACGGAGCCAGTCACCAAATCTTGGTCTCCTACTGCAATCAGTCCAAAGTGGAGATGATAGTTGAATGGAAAGGTCCATCCTTGGACTCGAGACACCTAATGTTGTATCAAGAAGGCAACGGATAAAGTAGGATATGTATCAGTACACAATTCAGGTACACTCAGAAGTAACACACAGAATAGGCAATTTTTAAGTGTCCGGATTATAACCAATGAAAGTAAGTTGCTGTTTCAGGCAACCAATGAAACAGGAGTTTGGAGAGACATCGCGATGAGTCGGCCACGACACTACCCATGTGCAGAAGATTGATGTAATAAATTGTGAGCTCCCCGCAACAGCTTCCAAAGTAGCTAGCCCTCCACATATCCGAAAAAGCACTAGGCTACATTTTCTACCTTTTGGGCATCATCAGTAGTGCGCATCCATCGGATCAGTCAGGAGGCTGTCTTTCTGGGCCAACCCTGTCCACTGCAACGTTCATAAGTTCTTTTACAGTGGAGAACAAACCATGCTATATAGCAGTCAGCTTGCAAAACATGACGGTCCGATTCTGTCTCTCTTGGCCCAGGGGCATAAG